AGAGGAGCAGTGTATACAGAGAGGCTCTCTCACTGGCTGTCACTATATGTCAGTGCTGATTTTTAAATGCAATTACCGGCTTTTTTTTTTTCTTTCTTCACTATAGCTCCGAGAATGACCTGTCGACTTTCCCCGAGATAAGGAAACTTTTTGTTTCTTTTAGCTGGGGGGAAGTGACAGCTGATTTTCTGAGCTATAGTGAAGAAAAAAAAAAGCAAGCCAGTAATTACACTTAAACCGGCACTGACATATAGTGACAGCCAGTCACTGTATACACTGCTCCTCTCCTGCCTTTCTCATCAGCATCACACATTCTCCTGTATCGGCTAAATGTTTCCTATTGGCAGAATGCTATTTTCCGACGATATGTTTCGGTGCATCCCTAACTTCTAAAAATGCTCAAACTCTCAAATAAAAACGTCAGTAAAGCGGAGGTAACTTACTGGTCCAAGGATTACCGTCCTAGCCTGGGTCAGTTCTTCACTAGTCTTTGGATCCCTGCTGCCGACATGTTTACTAAGGGAAGCTGGCTGTGATGCCTTGGTGGAGGGGAGAACTTCTGCTTTGCTAAAACTAGGTTACAAAAAAGGACAATGCCTCCAAAAGTAGGAAAGGAGGAGGAAAAGGTTTTAAAGCAGAACTTCCCTTTTAGGGTGAAGTTCTGCTTTAAATTTGGCCTGATTCACATTCTGTGTTGCAGTAACACGCCGTACAATGCACTTTGCTGTGCCTCTGATTTTAAATGGCACCCCGGTGCACATCAAGGCACCACAAAGTATCTGAGTTTAAAGGCACTAAAACACGCAGATTCTAATCCTATATGCGTTGGGGTGCGCTGAGCAAGGGTATGTATGTATATATTAAAAAAAATGGTTGTGAGGAGTTGGAATTGCTTTAAAAAAGAATGGACAGTCTTCTGGCAATGCACGTTTTAAGATGCGTGCAGTACTGCACCATGGCATTGTGAATCCAGCATTAATCGCATACTAACTTCTTATAACTTAAAGAATCCCAAGTAGGGAACTCATTAGCTCCTAGTTCTGCTCCCCCCCCCCCCCCCCCCCCTTCCGCACACGCCAGAGATGCATGGAAGCCAAGGAATTCCTTTACAGTAAGATAAAGGCCCAGCCTCTAGTGTAATCTCAGTAACAGCTGGTTTAGGAAACACTAGGTGAATAAAACTGGGATATCAATTTCAGAGATGTCAGAGTGGCCAACACATTGAAGACCCAGAGTCCTTCAACCTGCCAGTATCCACCCAGAACAGAAATGTCTAGTTGTGTAATGCATAGATTTAAAGTGTTGCTAAACCCACAACCGTAAATTCAGTCTGTATTTGCAGTAAAGCATGCTTGTTATACTCACTGTGGAACCTAAGGGGTTAATCCTCCACATTGTGTTAAAAGGATGTTTGATCTGGTTGTCTGTCATCCTCCCCTTTTTCTACTGTCTCCAATCAATCTGCTGATGGTACAGAGCTCTAGGAGTCACTCTGCATATGCTCAGTTTGGTGTGTATTGCCAAAGAGTTTTTGTTTTCTTTGGGAGGGTGCATGTGATCAGCACAGGGCCAATCAGCACTGTCCAGACAGAGGGTCAGGGGTTATGCAGCTTCATAGGACAGTCGGAGCAGAATGAAAACTCCTCCTACAAGATTACCCATTGCTCTGCTGGACACTGATAGAAGTCACAAGACTGCTATTTACTGCTGATGAGAAAAAGTATTCAGCAGTTTATTTTTACTTGAGTAATTGTGTTTTCATGTTGTGCACACTGTGGGAGACCAGATATGCAGGGTCCTGGGTTTAGTAACACTTTAACTGTTGGTTGAGCTGACGCATGTGAAATCCCTAAGAGTGATTCCATATGCTGGTTTACAGTTAAAAACTAAAATAATTGCCACATATGTCAACATTTAGAACAGTCACCTGTCTGGAACACTTGTTTGATTTTTTTTTTTTTTTTTTTTTTTCTTTAAGATTCTTCATAGTGATCTACGGGGAGTCATGTTATGGACATTAGGTTTGCTCCAGTAGTTTTGACTAGAGTGTGATGTAAAATATTCTAGATTTCCTACTGTCAGGATGTAGGATGACGATCATCATTCATGCAGAAATCCTGTTTGCTTGAAGTTGATGAAACTAATTTTGTTTGGTGCTGGAGAGTTGAATCACTCACAGACTTCTGTTTGCACTTGTTTCTTGGATGCAGTTTCTGTTTTTTGTCCTCCCCACCTAGGACTTTTGTATTCTTGATGAAATCTTCATCATAATAAATTTATGAAATCTCTGGCAGGACAAGGTAGGAAATGAGCTGCTTAATGCACCAAAACACAACAAATAAAGGTATGTGCCCTATTTCTTAAAGCATAGCCTCACAATGCACAGTAGTGTTGGCATATTCACATAGATTACTAAGTAAGCTAAAGCTGTACTGACTTCACTAATCCAGTCGTGCTCTTGTTGGTTATTTTGGATTTTTTTTTTGTTAATTTTCTTGCACACGGTTGGATATCTTTTGCAAAGTTAATTTTATCTGCACCAATTTTCACTAAGCTAAGTGAAAATTTACATTGCCAAGCGAACAAGCTCTATTCCTAGTAACTTAACCCTTTCATGCTAATGGCCACTTACAGGCCTTTTTTTCCCCTTGTCTCCACCGTTTACCCACCTCCGAGCACCTTCAGGTGGTTTCATCCCCTACCCACCTCCCAATACCGTTCCTTTTAGAGAATACAGAGCCACGAACCAATTTGTGGTGCTAAATAATTGGTATGGAATTTGTTAATGAGAACAAGAAAAGCAGAAAAATAGATGCCCGCAGCATTAGACCCCCCCCCCCTCCCTCACCAGCAAAAATAGATTCCTCCAGCAACAAAATAACACGCTAGCAACAATAGACTCTCAGCAGCTACAACAGATCTCCCAGCAGCCAGCATCAGTAGATTCTCCAGCAGCAATAGACCCCTCTTTCAACAGTAGGCCCCTTCCAGCAACAACTGACCTCCATCAACAATAGATCCCCCACCAGCAACAAACTTCCCCAGCAACAATAGACAACCAAACTAATAGATCTCCTTCAGTGACAATAGATCCCCCAGCAGCCAGTGACAACAGATTCTCCAGCACACTTTAGCACCCCTTGCTATTACATATTTTCAGTGCTGGAGGTGCCGGAACTGCATTCCCCTTGTTCCCGTTTGAAAAAAAGCCCTGGTCACTTATTATTCTCTCTTCTGCCAAATTGCAGAAAAGATCATGGCAGATCTAAATGGCAGCACACCTAAAATGGTTTTAAACCCAAAAGCAAAAATATATAATTTTTTGCCGTTTACCAAGCCTTAGATGTGTGGTGGCTGCATTGGTTTCATTTTTTAAGCATACAAGAGAAAGCTCTTTTCCATTCTCTGTGCTTTTTTGAGTGTCCTTATAGTCACATATAACCCTTATGAGATGCTAGTACATCTGCAGCTGTCCCCATTAAACTAAACAAGGGGATGCAAGATACGCTATAAAACAAAAGTGAAGCACATCACTAGCGATCACCAGGTCATTTATTTTGACCTGGTGATCCAGCCAGTAACAGATCTCCTGTCCAAGGCCCCATTCACACAATGGCTTTTTGATTTGTAGGCAGAATCGCGGCAATCTGCACACAAAGTGTGTCGCCCAATAAGAAGGTCAGGAACTGTTTTTGGGTGTGAAATGCTTAGTCGTGATTGCAGTGCGATATATTTTTTTTTTTTATTGCAACAATAGCAGTAGAACCGCACAGCGTTTTTATGTGCCATTATTTTTATTATTATATAGGATTTATATAGCGCCAACAGTTTGCTCAGCGCTTTACAGTATGGTGGGAGACAGTACACGAGACAGTACAGTAACAATACAGTTCAATACAAGAGGGGTTCGAGGGCCCTGCTCCTTGGAGCTTACAATCTAGGAGGGAGGGGATAGTGGCACAGGAGGAAATAGCTGTGGGGGATGGAGTGGTTGGAAGAGTAGAGGAGTTCAATATTAGCTGAGGGCGGGGTAGGCTTCCCTGAAGAGAGGTTTTCCGAGTGCGCCTAAAGGTGAGCAGAGTAGGTGATAGTCTGATGGATGGGGGAAGTCCTGGAGACGAGCATGGGAGGAGGAGACAAGGGAGCTAGAGAGTAGGCGGTCTTGTGAGGAGCGGAGAGTACGGTTTGGGTGATCGTTGGAGACAAGATTGGTGATGTAATTTGGGGCAGTATTATGAACGGCTTTATACGTCAGTTTTAGCGTTTTGAATTTTATCCGTTGGGCAATTGGAAGCCAGTGGAGGGATTGGCAGAGAGGGGTGGCAGATACAGAACGGTTAGTAAGGTGGATGAGTCTGGCCGCAGCATTCATGATAGACTGAAGTGGAGATAGCCTACGATGAGGTAGGCCAATAAGGAGGGAGTTACAGTAGTAAAATGAATGGCACCTGAACACGCTTTTTTGGGATCTGTTGTTTTAGCAAAGCATTTTGAAATCGCAGGCAGAAATGCCATAGTGTGCATAGGGCCTTAGGGTGTCTCCACTCTGGATGGAGGAGCAACAGAGACATCATTGGACAGCACCTACAACAGAAAGTAAGTTTATTTCCAAAGCAACAAGATTCTCATGTGGATGACAATCTTCCAATAGGTAAACCCACTCTGGTGACTAAGGTCACTTCTGTTTCCATGACAATGCAATAGTTTTGAATTTCCCACTACTTTTGGGTGGAAAAAGTCTAAAAATAACGCATTATGCCACATCTACTGAACGCTAAGATGCAATCTGTACTATTTTTTGTTTTTTTTGGGTTTACACGTTGGAAGGGCTCTCTGGTAACTTCATAGATATTACATAACTATAACCACTTTTTTCAGTCTGTGGCACCTTTGAACTTCAGCAAATATAAATGAATAGACCATTCTTTTGCAGTTATTGATTTCTCTGTTCATAGCAGAGATTCACTGCAGTGACTTTGTATGCATTATGTCCTCGCCAGATGAGGAGGTACATTGCACCCTGTGGATTTACGTTCTTTGCCATCCTGGGAATTAAACGTGGAATTTGGAAGAAGTGGTTTGAAACCCAGAGAGTTGAATGTACCTTCAATGATGTGTAAGTTACTGCTCCAATGGTTGTTTTTAGCTCATTTTTTAGACTAATTCTTTTCCAATAAAGGAATTAGAATACTAACACCTTTATGGGAGGCCTCCTGTTTTGTGTTTTGTGGATAAAAAAAGAAAAAAAAACCTACAAAAGAACATGGCTGCATTAAGTAAACCTGGTAGAGTCCAAAGGCTGTCTGACCCGGGGAACTAAATTTGCATAGGTGAGTATCTGCAATAAAGTTTAATGCATTCATGTATGATATACTAAGGGTCAGGAAGCCAGTACTCACAGCTTACTTCCTCCCACGTTATTGTGGTTACTAGCCACATTCAAAGGGCATGGCTGCCATGGAAGATGTTCGTAAACACAGCATAAAGTATCTTGCTTATCCGTTCTAGTTTCATACTAGTATAATTAATGAATAGGTGACTTGTTTTGAATCTATTCAGGGTCTCCTTAAAAATGGAAAGAAGCATGTTGACTTCAGAATCACGTGTCAGTTGCCATTATCTTACCCCAGAATGAAAGATTGTAGCCCTAAATATTACAGCTCCTCTAATGCAGGGGTAGGTAACCTTAAAAGAGTAGGGTTTTTTTTTTTACTATTTATACTTCACTAGGTGGATGGATGCAGTTTTGGTCCGATGCTGCATCTGTCCCCCACGGACTGTAAGGGTGAGAACTCAGCAATTACCTGACCGCTGATTGCCGAGTTCTCACAGCCGCTCTGAGCAGAGAGTGGGACTGTCAGTCACCGCCGTCTGCTCTGCCCCCCTGGAGCACTGAGCTGTGGAGGGGGAGGGAGCTGCTGGCTCCGGCTCTCAGCGCTTCGCTGAAATGCTGAGCCAGGTGCCGCTCCAGTCTCTGGGGAGGATCCCGACTTTGAAGTCAGGATCTTTCCCTAGCCTTTACCGGCTTTGGCTGTACTTCTCCTTTTTAAAGAGGTAGAAATCTACCTGAACAACATGGAATTAGTAAAAGATCACAGGCACTTTGCACAGACTTCTATTATATCCGTTCTATATTGAATTCAGGAGTTTTGGTGCGCTTTCAGAAAGCACAGCAACACCTGCCGGAAGACTGCTTTACACCCTCATTGTGGGTAAACCGCAGCACATCAGTGTGAAAGCAGCCCCATAGTATTATGCCCAGTGTGTTGCTTCACACTGACCTGAAGATCTCTTCTTTGCTACTGCTGGCACCACTCTGAAGCCTGCTAGCTGGGATAAAAAGGGGGAGTTCAGTTGGCATCGCTCTGCATGGGACAGGAGCTCAGAGGAGGCATCGGCTTATGGGGTTCTTGCTCCCTACTACAACTCCAACTTTACAAGTAGTCCCTCTGCGTTGCACTCTAGGATGGCAGGTCAGCAAGCCCAGACCGAAATCTAATAGATTGTGATTTACAGGTTGCTGACTGTCAAGGTCCTACCTTTTCCCTGAGGTTATGTTACTCCATGTGCTGGCGTCCATCTTGGATTCTGCTGTGCATGGTGGGAATCCTTTTATGCCTTCAGGTCTCTGAGGTCCATCCCCCAGAGGGGTGTGGCTGATGACATATAAGCCTGTGGCCCACACATGCTCTTTGCACTTGTGTCTTGTGTCTTTGTGTTGCTATTACTCTGTTCTGACTCTCCTGGTATATGATTCGGCTTGTGACTCGACTATTCTTTGTATTCTCCTTTGATCTGACCCTCTGTTGCTGAACCCGGCTCGTGACCTGTGATTCTCGTCTGCTGTCCTGTACTGTTTTGTCCTGTTGTTGTTGACCCAGCCTGTCTGACTACTCTTTTGTGTCTTCCACCAGCTACACGCCATTGGCGGCGGCCATTACCGCAGCTGAGGTGTCTCGGGGGCCGCGACCTGGTTCCTGGCTGCATCAAGTCCATCCCCACCATCGGGGGCCCTGGTGAAGGGCAGCCTGGAACTTAGACTCCGCGCCCTGAGGGACTTCGGTCTGTGGGTGGTGGTTGTCGCCAGCCAGTGCGTTACATTGTTAGGCCTGCCTGTGCGTTCCTTGGCCCCTGCCCTGACACTGACCCCCGCTCTAAGGCTAAGTGAACAAGCTACGTACTCCCATCCACACTCGCCCAAATTAAAGAATAGCTAAAGGCAAAACCCTCTCTATTTGTCCTGTTTAACATGATCATTGCAAGTGACAGTAAAGGAAACCCCAAATTTTGGGTTATCCCCAGAAAAGTAATAGAGGAGACATTTTCAAATGGGGTCACTAGTTCTGGAGACCTGAGGGTCCCCAAAGAATTCCCTTAATTTGCAGACATTTTCTCACTTCCTTTTTTGGCTATGGGACAGGAAGTGAATAGAAATCTCCCCAGTGGGACACAAATAAAATAAATTGGCGGGGATTATAACACTTCTTTACTCCATCCAAAATTGAAAAAAGGTTTTTTTTGCATATAGTTTTACTTTAACTAGAAAAGATGCCAAGTCAAGATCCCAAGTTATAGAAGACAAAAAATATTGTCAATAATACTTTAGTGGCTGACTAAAAATACCTAAATCTGATGTTTAGATATGGATATTTTTGTTTAGTTATATTGGTCCAGCTTGGACTAATGTGACTGCATGTTTCATACCTGGCCAATGTCTGTTGAAGCTGAAAATTGCTGCAATAGACATTGATCACCACTAGCTCCTGGGTCCAGTGCACAGCTTCTGCCCTGCTTCTTAGTGAACACAGGAGGATGTTTGCTTGGCACAGGCACCATTCAGAGAACACTTTGCATTTCCACAATGAATGTAATGCATTCTCTAATTGGACAAGATGAAGATCGTGACGTCACCTGCCTTTCCACTATGTCCAATCAGAGAATGCTTTGCATTCCTTTGAGAAAATGCAAAGTGTTCTCTGAATGGGGCCCAGACTAAGTGAGTGGCCTCCTGTGTTCACTAAGCAGGAGGACATGGGACTCGGAGGCTAGCATCAATCACTTTAGCAGTGGTCCCTACTACAGTGACTTCCAGCTTCAACTGGTATTGGCTAGGTGAGGAACATGCATACTTTGGTCCAAACTGGATTAAAAAATACCCCTACCTGAGCTTAAGCTTTATAAAACAAGCATTGGGGGTCTAAAGCTCCTTCTTCAGGTATTATGAGAACTAATATAAGATTTTTTTTTTTTTTCACCATTTGTTCTTTTATAATAACCTGGAAAGGAACTTTAGATTCCAAACACTTGTATTTTAAAATATGTTTTAGTAGCTGGCTAAGAATGATCTGGTTAACCTTTTTTTTGTGCCTTTTCTGCCTCTGCAATTTATTTCAGCTAAGCTGGCCCATCATCCACCTAACCCAAACCTACTGCTTTTAAAAAGGCATGTCATGGTATATACACAATAGACATGGTTGATTTGATGTAGCTGCATGTAGACTGGTGGTGGTGTTTCCTGAAGATAGAATTTTCCTGGCTCTGAGCCCTTACAGATGTCTCTGTGAAACCATGTTAATTTAAATCAGACTTGGCAGCATCTGATATAAAATTGTGAAGGTGGTTCAGAGGGCCTTTGAGACCTTGCCCTGCCAAAAATAAGCCAGCATATGGCATGAAATCAACAGCACAGGTCAAATACTTTCAGAGGTAGGCTGTAAGTTTCTTTTTCTGCATTGACCTTGCCTGCCTGTGCATGCCGTCATTGTATGATCACTTTTGTAGCCTCTAGTTTAATGTGGAAGATTGAATGAAGCCAGAATATCATGTAGTGTATGAGTACCATCACATGGGATTACTTTACTGGTTTTCACTAATACTTATGTACAAATGAGTGGCACTTTTATTTTTTATATCTAAATTAGACAGCTTATATACAGTCAGTGTCGCAAAAACTGCGCAAAACACAGTGAAGTACGCAGTTCAACCATTTTGTAGGCACCTCCATCTTGGTACGGAGTATATATTGTCTCTCATTTCTCATTCTTCTTCCCCCTCCCTTCCAGAGAGGCACAGTGACAGATGTGTGTGTGTTAAAAGTGTCACTGGCAGGTAGAGCAGCAGGGGGCCCAGAGCTACAAAGCCCCCCCCCCCCAGAGAGACCGAGCCTAGCTGCCCAAGAACAGGTGTAATTTCTCACTTTGTAACCGAGATAAGGCAGCTTTTCCCAGGAATTGAAAGAGATTGTAACCTCATAAAACCTAGCGGCGTAGGTGACAGAATTAAATGAACACTCCTCAAGTCAGTTTGTCCCCTATGTTTCATATCATGGATTATGAAGATGTTGGTTCTAATTCAGAGTCCGCCCGACGATCCCTCCCTAAACAGAGTATTGGTCAGTTACTCAGAGCCACCCCCCCTGCTGGGGGACTTTAAAACACAGGCTAGCAGGCCTAAAAAGTTAAGTTGAAGGACTTCTCCCATTTTTTCCATCGTAACAGTGGGAGATCAAAGCACCATTCTGCTCTGCAACGTTTATCTGCTTACATCAAAGGCTTAAATGGCAAGTAACTTAACCCTTTAACTTCCTTCCTATTATCTCTCTGCTGTGCTATGGTTCTTTGTGTGTGTGTGTGTGTGTGTGTGTGTGTGTGTGTGTGTGTGTGTGTGTATATATATATCCATCTATCTATATATATCTTAGTTATATTTTTTTCTGTAAATATTTTATTGCACCTGTTTGGTTCTTTTAGTAATAAATCTTTCCTTCTGAAAGGTGTTAAACTGTTTCTAAACCGCTTAATTGCAATTTATGAATTCCTGCCTCTATAGAGATGCTACTGTGTTTGTTTAATCCTATGCCCAATCGGCCTGCGGTGACTGTATTGGATAGACGACTTTTCAACCATTACAGTGTATATTTGATAAGAGAGTTTCCCCCTTCCCTGTACAAAAAGGGGTGGTGGTAGTGAAGGGTTAGTTGCGTAATTAACCCGACCCAGTAACAATCGCTCAGGCTGACGGCACATCAATCGGCTGACCATTAGCTGAAAATCATTGTGTAGGGTGCAGCTGGGTGTGGCATTGTTACGCACGTCACATTGCGGTTTTAGATCGGCC